CATTCAAGTCATTTTCCCTCCCTCTCTTGTTTTGCCACTTTTCAGAAATCTAAAGCACTTTTGCACTTCCGAAATTCGGCACTTTGGCAGTTCGGTTTGGCACTTCCGAAATTCAGCAATTTGGCAATTCAGTAATTCGGCAATTTGCCACTTCGGCAATTCAGTTCCGTTCGGCACTTCTGAAATCCGGCAATTTGGTAGTTCGGCAATTTGGGAATCGGACATTCAGAAGCATCCGAATGTCCAAATCGCCAAAATTCGGTCTAATTCACATTCAGAACAAAACTAATTGCATACGTCTAATTGTTATTACTATAAAGTGGGTGACCTCCACTTATCATTGCATCTTTGGGTAACTCCCATATGCTCCACTTGAGTGACCCCCCAAGCATTATTTTAAAGTGTGAACCCCTATCACCATTGGGTACCCCCAAACATTATTTTAAAGGGTGACCCCCTGTCTATATTGGGTGACCCCCAATCATTCATAAAGGGTGACCCCCTTTTTATTTAGTTTTTTTTATAGCTACTCCATAGGAAATATACTGCTTTTTTTTTTGCCAGTCATGTCTGACCAACTAGAATTCACTGTCTCTGCGGAGCTTAAATCTTGGCTTTTTTTCGGCAATCGCGGAGTCCATGCCCAAAGCCACAGCGGCCTTTCATGGCCTTTCAATCTGTCAGAATTGAATTGTGTCACACCGATGACTAATACGTAACTTATTACCGACCCTCAGAAAGGCCGGACTTAACATACCAAAGAGTAGTCAGGTTACTTGCCGAGGTCAGGGGATACCGAAAGAGACACAATAAGCAAAAGCCAGAAGTCAGGGATACCAGAATACAGAAGGAAGTCAAAATCAAAGCCAAAGTCAAAAACAAACTTGAATCAGAAACGCGCTCTCGGACAACCACTAGGGAAACCACGCCAGGGCACTGAGCAGGATGAGAACTGGGCATAAATACCCCTCCTCTGGATCTGATAGGCTGTAATTGGCCTCTGACCCCAAAGGCAGTTACCAGGTTCCCATTTCCATAATTGCTGCTCAGCACAAAACCCTCCTGTGGATTTGATTGCTGCTCGGCACAACTTTTCCTGTGAGAATAGAAAATGTTCTTAATCACATTTTTATATGCAGATGAATATGTGACACAGTCTCACCCTGTTCCCAAACCACCTGCAACCCATACTTTTTTAGACTCTGAGGTTTCCCACACCGAATCCGATCATGAATGGGGTCCGCGTAATGGTTCCTGGAAGGGCAATAGTGCCTCAGCCAGTAAAGGCAAGGCACCGGTAAAAACTCCAAATTTGTCCCATACCTCCATGAGCCAACAACTGATTGACCCTCTAGAAGGTTCCACATGCCACTATGACCTACAGGTCGTGGACAAATACTGTGCTGGGTACTCCGATGAAGAACTCCTCACTGATTCGCACCACGTTGATACCCCTTTTGTTAAGGAATCCTTTGTTAAACAACCTCCAGTTTCCCAGGACTCTCTCTCAGCTAAAAATCCTGCCAAAACCCAGGATCAGTCTTCTGATGTCTTACTAGACTCTAGTGGCCAACCCTTTTTTGACCCTAGGATTATTAATCTTCCCCCCTACCACCAGACCACATAGTCAAGTCTTGCAGGATGTGGCTGCGCAAGCCTCTTGAGAAGGAAATTAGGAATAAATTGAGGGCTGAATGCCACCGTCCAGCCTTACCTCATAAGGTGGCACAAATGCCCGAATTGGATCCTCTCTTGATCACTTACCTCAGTAAATCTGGGAAGGACCCCCCGCAAAGGTCTTGAACAAGGTCTGCAAACTGTGCAGGACAAACTGCTTGACATCGCAGGTCCTTTAATACAGATCTTCATACTGGCTGATGAAGCAATAACTGAGGGCTCTTTAGATCCACATCTAGTGCGTGAATGTGGCAATCTCCACGGATCGGCGCAAAGCTGTCTTATATAAGACTGAGGCAAAGTTGGCAGATTTGACTCGGCCCTGGAGCTAATGGCCGCCTGTTTGGTGACCAGTTTATGAGAGATCTCAACAAACACGTCTGTTTTTACCTCTCTCTCAACAAGGCTCAAACAACCCTACACAGAGTTTTTCACTCACATCATTTTTCATAGAGGCCGAGCTACCAGCAGAACCGCCTTCATAGGTTACAGGCCTCGCCCCTCTAAGCCTTGGAACCCACCCTTAACACAGACAGCTCTTTACCAACAGAGGATCAATCAGAGGACGTGGATCCACTTCACTCAGGGGTCACACTGCTCCAGGTAATCAACTTACCTTATTTTCTAATACCTATTGCAGGCCGCCTAACCCATTGTTTCCCACAGTGGTCTCTCCTTACTCAAGATCCTTGGATCCTTTAAACAGTGTCCAGGTTTCAGATAGATTTTACATCAGACCCGCTTCAAGAGTTCTCTCCGTATCCCCCAAATATGTCCCTGTCGGACACCGCAATCCTACACTCAGAACTCTGCAATCTCAGAGACAAGGGCGCGACTGAGAGCTCTCCCTGTCCACCTAGGTTTATCAACAACATTTGCCTGGTTCAGAAGAAATCCAATGAATTTCTCCCTCTAATCAATTTAAAAGATTTGATCCATTTTGTGGTAAATCGCCACTTCAAAATGGAGGGCATCATCACTTTCTACAGTTTCTCTGGCAACAAGACCTTTGGCAATTCACTTGCCTTCCTTTTGGTCTCTCTTCTGCCCCTTGTGTTTCACCAAACTGATGAAACCTGTTATGGCTCTTCTATTGTCGCAAGATATTTGCTCCATCATCTATCTAGACGATATTCTACTCATGGCTCAAGATTCGGACACACTTCAGAAACACACAGAGATGACCAAACCTCTCCTTAGCACCTCGGATTTGTAATCAATTTTGAGAAATCATCCCTTCTTCCATCTCAGTCTATTCTGTTCCTGGGATTCCAGATCGACTTCGTCCTTTTGATTCTTCAGCTTCCAGTGTCGAAGATAAAGTCCGTCAAAAAAGACATTCGATGACGACTGTCCTCTCAACACACCCACCTTCGCAATTTAGTGCCAATCATAGGACTACTCTCAGCCTCCATCCAGGCAATTTCCCCAGGTCCTCTACACTACAGGGCAATGCAACACTTAAAAACAGTCGAGAACCGCTCCTCCACGCCGCTTGGGGAAATCCAAGGTGGCGCTGACCATGCGGTCGCGTCCATCCATGGCTCCACCCCCCAAAATTCGACGAACGTACGCGACGTCAACTCACGCGCATGTTCTGGGGTCAGAGGTCACCCTCTGACCAATCAGAGCCTAAAGAGGGATATTTAAATCCCTAATTCACCCCAGTACCTTGCCCTGTCGTGGTTTCCCGTTCCTGGTTTCCTGAGAGTGCGTTTTTCCTTGTGATATTGATATTCTGGTATTCTGATCTTGGCTATTCCTGGTTATTCCAATTTCTGGTTCCCCTGAATCGGCTTGTTTAAACGGTATTGTGTATTTCTGGCTTCCTTGACCTCAGCTTTCCTTTTGACCATTCTCTGTCTCCAATGTATTAGTCCGGCCATTCTAAGGTCCAGTTTACGCTCTATCCTTTTATTTCCTTTCTTATTTTTTTGTATAGGTTTACATAGTTTCTGCGTCTTGGACCGCACTAGCAGTCGTGACAGGACTCCTTATCGTCTCAGAACTCTAGGAGTCCAGATTCTCTTAAAAATGCCACTATGGAGGGCCAAACCTTGGTAACCCACCCTTCTGAAATTGTTGGTAGATTACCCTCTACTTCTTCCGGTATCTCACGATATCTCCTCAGAGATCCTTCTGGGGACTTCCATCCTATGGCCATTTAGGGTAGCCTTCGGGCCCGTAGCCTGGACTGTTTCAAAGGATCATGGGATGTCTCAGGACTTCCGCACACTACTCGAGGGCTACTCTGGGATTCATGGGGTCGCGGAACTCGTAGAGCATACCTCTCTGCATGGCGAATCAGGAATAGCTGGTGTTTGGAAAGGGATATGGATCCCTTTTTATCTACTTTAGTGAATATTATGAATTTTCTCTCGTCCCTTCTTGACAAAGGAAAATCTTACCGTACAATTAACGTTTTTCTTTCTGCTATTTCGGCAGCTCATAACCTGATTGTCGAGTTCCCAGTTGGGAAACATTCTTTGATTTGCAGGTTATTATGGGGTATTCATTTTTCTCGACCCCCGGCTCCTCGATACACCCAATTTTTCGATGTCTCTAGAGGTTTATCTTTCCTTGAAAACTGTCCTTCTAACTCTGAACTTTCCTTATGTCATCTCTCAGCCAAACTAGCCCTTTTGCTCGGTTGGGTCTCTTTTAATCGAGTATCAGACATCATGGCTTTCGAACTCCATGCTATTGAGGCTGTTCGTTTCCCTGCGCAATAAGGTTTTATTTACTTTTGCTTTTTATCCTTACTTTCCAGATAGACCTGCTCTTTGTGTTGCTCGTTGTTTACGATAATATGTCGCCCTTATTTCCCCTTTCCGAGCTCCATCAGGGCCTCTCTTTGTCTCTTACGTTCATCCTCATAGGCCTCTCCCACGATTGCTTGCTGCACCAGATGGCTGCTCTATCTTGCGGGCATTGAAGCTTCATTTGGGGCACACTCGGTTTGCGGGGCTGCTGCGACCTCCTCCTTAGCTGCGGGGGGGTCTCTTTCTGACTTTCTTACCTCCGCTTATTGGTCTCGGGAATTCACTTTCCGTATTTTCTATTTCCGTCCTACATCTCATGCATCTACTCATTTATTTTCTGGACGTTAAAACAGCAAATATAAAGCCTCCTGTCTTGCCATAAAATTAGGGATTATTCTAGCTTCAGTGACCAAATAATCTAAATTTTATTAAAGATAGGAGGCAAATATTTTCCCACCCTGTACTTTCATTTTACTTTCCCCTCCCTTTCTTCTTTCATTTGCTACCTTTTTTTTTTTTTTTTGTAAATTTCTTTTATTCAAAGATTTTTCATTTTATGCAGAAAAAGGAAAAACATTGTCGCGGACACGCAGGTCCGAAAAAGGCTTTCCCAATCCATGTCTCAGACATGAGATAATCATTGTGAACAACATAGTGACATGCACGTCATCTAACAGATCAAAGACGTATACTAGTTGGGCTCTTGGGTCCTATACACCTTTGTGTGGATGGGGTTTTCCCTCTCTCGTACGGTTGTTGTGGCTATGGTATATCACCCAGTGTGACAAAGGTGGTTGGTGTCTTGTGTCTAGGCAGGTGGTGTGTGTTGACCGACCGTACGGGGGGGGAAACCGGGTGTTGTGTGTGCTTTGCGCGTTCAGTTCTCAGATCTTTGGTGGCAGTGGGGTATGCCCCTGTTGATCTGGCTGGGGTGGAGGTGGTTTGTACCGTCTTTAACTCCCGCCTTTAGCGTGGGTGCCAAGTTAGGTTTGTTTCTCCTTGTCTTATCCTTAGCTGTGAACCCCTGTCCCTTTTCCTGTTTTCCTGTCTGATTCTCTTTGTCTCCTTCATACTTGACTTCCTTACTCCTTTCCCATTCCTTTCCCTCCTTTCTTATTCTCTCTTTTTACTCTTGGCTATCCCCTTCTTGTTTTTTTCCTTCTCCCTTTGCTACCCTTATCTTTCCCTCTCTTCCCTTCTTTGCTTAGCTGGTGCCCCTCCGTCTGGAGCCTCTACGTCTTATGAACTTCTCTACTTTGTCGCCTTCCCGTCCGCGGGTTCCCCCAGGGGGGGACCGGTGGGGGGGGATGGGGGGGGGAGAGGGGGAGGGGGTGTTTTATTTATTGTGATGTTGATTTTGTTTTCCCTGTTTGTTTGTGTAGTCACTCCCTCAGTCAAGGTGGTCGTTTGTCCCTTCAGGTGTCTGCAGTCACGTCAGCAGGTCCTGGAAGTCAGCGTTAGTCGAGGTCAGTATCCAGTGTGTCCAGATCGTCATGTACGTCTGGGTCCTCCCTTCTGCCAGCAGGGAGAGCTCTTCTAGAGCTCTCAGCTCCTCCATTTTTTGGTACCACGTCCCCAGCGGGGGCGCACATTGTTTTTTCCAGTAAAGGGGGATTAGGCTTTTGGCTACATTAAGTATCCGTATCGTTAAGGATTTTTTATATGTTGATGCTTTCGCCTTGGTGTGATGGATGAGGAATGTTGCGGGGTTCATGGGTGGTGGGGAGTCTGTGAATCTTTTGATGATCGTGTGGATGGTTGACCAGTATGGTTGGATGATTGGGCATTCCCACCATATGTGGAGGTGTGTTCCCTTGTGCGTGTTGCACCTCCAGCATACGTCGTCCTTCGTGGGGTCGTATAGGTGTGTGTGGAGTGGGGTGCGGTACCAAAGGGCCAGTATTTTATATGCTGTTTCTTGCGTTCCACTAGATGGTGCGCAGTGTAGTGAGAGGGTGCAAATTTTGTCCCATTGGTTGGGTGTGAATGTAGTGCCTAACACTGTTTCCCATTTCCCCATGAAGCTTGGGGGTGGCAGCCTCCTCAACCGCATGATCATTCCATAGAGCGTTGACAGGCCCCTCGGCAACGGGTCCGGGTCCATGCATATCTCTTCAAACGTTGTTAAGGGTCTGAGAGTGTGATTGTTTCGGGTGGTTTCTTGTATGAGCCCTTTCAGTTGTCGGTATCTGAATTGGAGCATGAACGGGTGGTTGGAGTTCCCCGTCATGGTCTCTAGTGATTTGATGCGGCCGTTGTCTATTGCGTGGAAAAGCCTCGGTATGTCTTGTCCCAGCAGTTGGACCAACGTTCTTGGTTCCCTTCCTGGCGGGAAGACCTCATTATGTATAAGAGGCATCATTGGGGATGGCGTGGAGGTGAGCGAGAGTGGTACCGCCAGAGCTTGCCATACCCGTACGGTCGCTTTGATTAGGGGGTGTGGAGCAGCTAGCTGCCTACTTTGTTGGGGGTCCAGCCAAGGGAGGACTGCCATCGGACTCTCCACCAGGGAAGACTCCACATCTTTCCAGAGTTTCTCCACTCCTTGTTTAGACCACTCCACTATCCTTTGGATGTGAGTGGCTCTATGGTATCTCTTAAAATCTGGCAGAGCTAGGCCTCCCTTGACCTTCGGTAGTGTGAGCACGTCGTGTTGAATCCTGGCCTTCTGTCTCTGCCATGTGAATCGGAGGGCCATCGATCTAAGGGAGGTAAAAAATGCCTCCGGTATGGTCGCGGGGATAGCTTGAAACAGGTAGAGGATCCTCGGTAGGATGTTCATCTTGAGCACTCCCACTCTTCCAAACCATGAGAGGCGCACCTGGTCCCATTCCTGCAAGTCCTTCTGTATAGTGGTCAGGAGTGGTTGGAAGTTCGCTGCATACAGTTGGGCGAGGTCGTTTGTTAGCACCGCGCCGAGGTATTTTAGGGAGGTGGCAGACCATTGGAATGGCAGCGCTCGTTTGAGGGCCGTCGCTCTGGACTTCGAAACGGAGACATTGAGGATCGTGGATTTGGAAAAATTGATTTTAAAGTTTGAGAGTTCCCCGTATTGTTCGAATTCTTTCATTATCGTGGGCATGGATGTTTCCGGTTTAGTTACGAAGAACAGTAGGTCGTCCGCATATGCTGCCACTGCGTGTTTCCCCGCTCCTGTCTTCAATCCCGGGATATCCGGGTTGTTCCGGATCGAGTTCAGGAATGGTTCCAGGGCAAGCACAAAGAGCAGGGGGGAGAGGGGGCAGCCCTGTCTGGTTCCATTCCTGATCACGAAGGGGTCCGTGAAGGCTCCATTTATGCAGATCCGTGCTGTTGGTTGTGAGTACAAGGCTCTGATCCAGGACGTCATGTGGGGCCCCATCCCCAGTTTGTCGAGGACCTGGAACATGAAGTCCCATGCAATCCTGTCGAAGGCCTTCTCCGCGTCCGTGGAGAGCAGGAGAAGGCCCTCCTGTCTAGTTTTTGCTAGGTGGATCAGGGAAAGTGCTCTGATCGTGTTATCGCGCGCTTCTCGGTGCGGGGTAAATCCCACCTGGTCCTTATGACTCAAGTTCGGGAGGTGGGCCTGCAGTCTCTGTGCGAGTATCTTCGTAAAAAGCTTCAAGTCGTTATTTAACAGTGAGATGGGGCGATAGTTCGCACAGTGTTCAGGATCTTTCCCGTCTTTAGGAATTAGGATGATGTTGGCCGCCAGGGTCTGTGTCGGGAATATCTGCCCGTCTCGGATCGCATTGAGTGCCGTCGTGAGGCGTGGGACGAGCAGTTCCGCAAAGGTTTTGTAGTAGCGTGCTGGTAGGCCGTCCGGTCCGGGGCTCTTGCCCGTCTTGGCCGTTTTGAGAGCCCATGCTACCTCGTGCGTCTCGATCGGTTCGTCTAGCTCTGTACATGCCTCCTGTGAGAGGCAGTTGCCGATGCGCGGTTCTAGATAGTCTGTTATCCGCGTCTTCCTTTCTGTGTCCGCTCCCTGTCCCCTGGGCGGGTCGAGGGAATAGAGGTCCGCATAGTACGCCCTAATGGTGTTGGCCATCTCGGTCGGCATACTGTGCAGCTTCCCATCTCTGTCTCTGATCCCCGGGATGTAGGCCGCTGCTCTCTTTTTGGCGATCATGCGGGCAAGGAGGGCACCACATTTGTTGGCATTGGTGTAAAAGAACGCTTTGGAGTGTAAGTATGCTCTATGGTGATTGGCATTCAGGATAGAGGAGAGTTCCCTCCTGAGTACCGTTAGCTGTGTCCAGTCCGCTATCAGGTGGGTTTGTTTGTGTCTACATTCCAAAGTCTGTATGTCCTGAATTAGTGTTTTAAGTCTGGCAGATTTGGCTTTTTTAAGCGCGGCGCTTTTCGCTATGAAGTGGCCTCTCATTACGCTTTTATGAGCCTCCCATAGGCATAGGGGCGTGACCTCAGACGTGTCGTTTTCTGTAAAGTATTGCGTAAGTCTTTCCCTGGCTTCTGTCGTCGCTGTAATGTCGTTTAAGATCGATTCGTTCAGTCTCCAGTTACTGCAGGTGGGCCTATAGAGTGGGGAGGTTAGTGTCATCGTAATTGGAGCGTGGTCTGACCATGTCGCTGTTCCAATGTCCGTTCGTCGAACCTCAGTCAGGTAGTAATGTGGAATGAGGAAATAGTCTATTCTAGAGTACGTTTTGTGGGGGATAGAGTAAAAAGTGTAGTCTCGGTCTTCAGGGTGTATAGCTCTCCAGCAGTCAACCAGACGCTTCTCTCGCAGCGTTTTTGATATATTTGTTAAGATATGCTGGGGGGTCGTAGAGAGGCCTATGGATGTGTCTATGGTCGGCGTCAGGGCCACATTGAGGTCCCCTCCAACGACCAGGCAGCCCTCCGCGAAGCCCTCTATTGCTCTAAGTGTTGTGCGTAAAAATTGGTGTTGGCGTTTATTGGGGGTATATAGGTTTGCGAACGTGTATGTGCGGCCTGCAATTGTGCCTTTGACACATATATACCGTCCGTGGCTGTCTCGCAGTGTGTCAGTGGGGGCAAAGTGTAGCGATCTATGGATCAGGATTGCTGTGCCTTTGGACTTTCCCTCCGGGTTATTACTCAGGAAACATTGTGCGTAATGTTTGTCCGTCAGTCTGGGCACGTGGCCCTCTTTAAAGTGTGTCTCCTGAATGAAGACTACCTGTGACTTTTGACTGTGGAAGTGACGTAGGGCATGCGAGCGTTTTTCGGGTATGTTCATGCCTTTAGCGTTGATGGAGAGGAATTTAATCTCCGCTTGTTTGTGCGTGTTGTGGCGTGGCATGTTTGCTATGTTTCAGGAGAATCAGGGTAAGGTGGGGAGGGTTGGGGAGTATGGGTGGGTGCTAGAGGGTTTGGTTTACTCCTCAAGTGCGGGTCTGAAGTCGGGGATGGGTCCCCCTGGGTCCCGCGGGCGGGCGCGACTTTCAACAATTCTTAACAAATGTAACAGTAATAAACAACAATAATAAACTGTGTGTGTTTTCCAAAAAAAAGACTAGGGTGTGGGCTAGGTAGGAGTCAGCTGTGCAGCACCTGTCGGCACAGCTGAGTCCTCCCGCCGGTATCTTGGTTCCCCTGTCTACCGGGAACGTGGCCCTCTAACTCCCTCACCTCGTAGGGCCAATAGTGGTGGATCCTTCTCCTTTCTAGGTCTCCAGTGTCCCCCGGCCCCCTCTGCTCGGAAGCTATATAATCAGTACAGGTGGTGGTGGCAGCCTCTGGGCCCAGCCCGTCCCGGCCCTTTCCCTATCTCCCAGGTGTGTGTTCAAGTGCGTGCTCGCTTGAATGGCTTTACCCTGCTAGTCTCTCCCCTGTGCCCCTAGATCTCTTTTGCCAGGTGGTGAGTTATGTCGCCGTGTTGTGGCTTGTAGGTGTGTGGCTTTAAGGTATATAACTAGCTGGTCTTACACCTCCCCTTTCGTGTCCCTCCCCTTGCTGTGATGTTCTGGGGGTCCGGATGGTATTGGGGGCCTGTCCCTTCTTATAGTACTCGCCCTCCCTGGTAACCTCCGCTCCTTCTCTCTGTTGGTCTCTCTCTCTGTTGGTCTCTCTCTCTGTAGGTCTGGAGCGAGCCTTTATTCAGCCTCAGCCTCCCCTTTCCCAAATCCCCCCACCCAAACGGGGAAGAAAAAACCCTGGAGGAAGGGGAAAGCAGAGAGGAAGGGCAGAACATCTTCCCCCCCCCAATATACCCAGAGTCCCCAGTGTTTCTTTCGTGGGTTCCTCGATTGTGCTTGCGAAATGTCTCGTATGCCCACTTCTGATGGTCCCCCCTCCCTCCCTCCCATGGCACGTGGGTGTCTGAGTGTTTTAACGGCTAAGTGTGTGGCCCATGTGTGGTGTAGGCCTCCGTGTGGAGTGTCCCAGTGCATAGTTACGAGTTCCATGCGTGGCTCCTGTCTTGTATGTCCGTTAACGTGTTGCCCCTGCTGGCCTCACGGTCTCCAGTCTTGTTCGGTGTCTGCGCTGTGTCGGTGTAGGTTCCCCCTGGGGTGTAGGTGGGCTGTTGTAGAAATCCAGTGGATCTGGCCAGGTCAGATTAAGGGGTGGCAAGTGGAGATCTTCTGACAATTCTTGTAGGTCCTGTGGGGTGCGGATCGGTCTGGGGCCGTTTTGGGTGGTGGCGATCAGGCCTGTGGGGAATGTCCAGCGGTATCTTATTTTCTGGGCCACTAGCATTCTGGTGAGCGGTTTTAGTGCCCTGCGATATCCCAAGGTAGCTGGGCATAGGTCCGGGTACAGTTGGAGATGTGAGCCTTCATGGGTGATTTCTCCCTTGTTGCGTGCTGCATACAGAATTTCCTCCTTCAAGGCGTAAAGTGCAAGACAGCAGATCACGTCTCTAGGTGGAGCCTCTGGTGGGCCCCTGGGTCTCAGTGCTCTATGGGCTCTGATGAACTCTATGGGGGTCTCTCTGGGGCGGCTCAGGAGCTCGTTGAAGATGGCGGTGAGTGTGACTTTAAGCTGGGCGGGTGAGTCTTCACCTTCTTGTAGGCCTCTTACTCGTAGGTTCTGTCTGCGGCCTCTATTGTCCAGGTCTTCTATATGTCTGGCCATGGCTTGCATTTGGGCAGATCTTTTAGAGTAGTTTGTGGCTTGTGCCGTTTGTGTCGCAGTGAGGGCGTCGTGATCTGCTTCTATTTGGGCCATGCGGTCTGCCATCCCCTGAATGTCTGCCCTCATCAGCTGCAGGTCTGACTTGATAGAGGACTGGAGGGCTGAGGTGGCTTGGGTGAGGTCTGCCCGCGTGGGTAGAGCCCTTAGCAGGGCCATCCAGTCTGCAGGGGGGGTTTCCCCTGTGTCCTCTCGGGCTGGGGAGAGGGAGTGTGGCGTGGAGGCCTCAGATGGCGGGTAGGCCTCAGATGACGCCTGGGAAAACGGGTCCGGCGTCGCGGACAAGTACTGCCGCATGGAGGGGTTTTGGCTCACCTGGCGGGTCCCCGGTGGTCTGGGGGTGTTCCCCGCCTTGGTGTGTTTCCCCATCCTCCTGTCTGTGGCCGGTATTTTGTGCGTGGCTGAGTGGGGCCGGAGGAGCTCAGTCTCTATGCGGCCATTTCGTTCCGCCGCTAGGCCACGCCCCCATTTGCTACCTTTTAGTTTATTTACTGTCCTTCTGGCATTAAAGAAACACAAAGAAAAAGCAATAGGATTCAATCAGGATTTAGATATGGAAAACATCTGATAGATACGGAAGCTTATCCTTCACTCTTTTGATTGTATTCACTCTCCATGCCTTTTTTCTATAGATCATGTTCTCTTAGTTAATATTGTTTATTCGTACTTGTATTGTTTTCAATTTAAAGGAATACTCCAAGCACCATAAACACTACAGTGTACTGTAGTTGTTATGGTTTCTGGAGTACCCTGGCACACCCACATTGTAAGTAATCAAACTCTAACTTAGTTTAAGTATGGTTTGTAAAAGTTTAAGTATGCTTTGACTTCTTACCTGGGTGCTCTCCTCACCTCCACTATATTAGCTAGAGAACCAAAAGAGCTTCCTCTGTAAGAGCTTCCATAACCTTTGCTCAGCTAGGCGCTGCACAGCAGACGTAGCTCATTGGTAGCGAGCATCAGCCGATCTCTGTCAGCCAATGAGCTAAGCCCTGCACCACAAAGTAGGGTGCTTGGACTGTTCCTTTAACTTTTTTTTTTTGCAAAATTTAAAATATGTAATAAAAACTGATTACTGATAAAATATACTTAGACTAGAACCATTACATTGTAAGTGTAGTTTTTGTGATCACGCCAGTAGTTTTCTAAACAATATGTCTTCAAGCTGTTGGGGTTTTTTGTTTGCGGGGGGGGGGGGAGAGAATAACTTACTGGAACATTGACTACAAAGCAATTAATATATATTAATACATTATTGTCTTTGTTACGGTAAGTTTTTCTCATCCCCATTTTAACCAGGAATGTTTATAAAACTGCGTACTTCCATGCTAGATTGGGTAAAATTAAGTTAATGTCTATTCTGTTTCCTAATTAGTTTAAAGAGTGTGGGTAGATAACATAATGTATAAAACCAACATAAAACAGGTATATGTAATATTTATTGTATCCTACCCAAATGAGGATTGGGAATATAGTGGATTAAAAGGATACTCTAGTTCTGGGAACTCCTTGCATAGTTTGTGATGCAAGAATATCCCTAAAATTTTAAAATCTGCTCCCAGCCTACTGGAAATAGTGATCAGGAGATTATATCATAGCATCCCTGATAAACACATGCATATTGTGTTTAATGTGAAGTATTTTTTTTATTTATAAAATATTTTACCAGGAAAGATACATTGAGATTTCTCTCGTTTTCAAGTATGTCCTGGGTAATAAGAAAATGCATACATTTGCAATGCACAACCTGGAGCATCTCATGACAGAATGATATCTGTTAGTTGCAGTCAGCTATAGCTTTAGTATAGTGAATTAACTATTGTGAATAGGGGTTTGCAGATACCGGCACTTATTCTATCCAGTTCTAGAAATTATTCAATGTGCACGTGTTTGTACCCCATCTATGTACCTGACCACACTCTGTAGCTACCCTACAGTAATGAATGAGAGATGGAGGACTAATTTACTGATTTTAGCCACTTCCTGACAGTAATACACTCAGAGAACATTGATATAATCCTTGTGTATACATATAGTCTGCAGTTGGGTACATATGTTATTCTATTACCATATTGCCCCTCCCCACCCCCCCAAAAAAAGAAATAGGTTAAAACTTACCTCTATTCCAGCAGCAAGGCCAGGTTCTCCTACCAGAATGATATCAAAGAGGACAGGCTGAGGGGGGACTTTGGCGGCACTGGGGGAGTGGTGGCTGCAGACAGACATTCAACATGCAAAGAATTGACTTTAGCTAGAAGAGTACTTTTGTTGTGAACTGGCTAATGACGCTACACAAGCTGGAATTATGCATCCAGCAGAAAAGGGCTATATCTCTGTATGTGCAGTGTTTCATAGTCACCATGTCAATGACTGTAACCACTTCAAGTCACTGCAGTGTCATCATGCTTAAAGTAACCCTTTATGTTCATACATGTATCATATATGTGCATTGACGGTGTTTTAAAAGCACTATTCACTTTTGAAAATACTTAAACTGAGGAGAGCCCTGATACCACAGCCACACTGTGCCCACTGTACCCCACACTCTTTTGCTTAGTGATGACAACTGGTTGACATTGTCAATTAAGATACATCTATAAATACCTTCGACGTATTTTCTCTGTATTTTTGTATTTCTTTCCTGTATTTCTTTGTCTGACCATTCTTGGAACCATGTACATTTTCTGTGTACTACTGGTGCTCAAGCAAAAATTTGTAGTAAGTATGACGTTCACTTTAAGTATCAACTGCACAATTATGAGTGGTTTGTACCAACATTTTTAGATTTTTTTTTTTTTTGAGGTTTTCTTTTCTTTTGGCGTTTCTATTGCTAAGATGCACTTGATTTTCCTTGTGTCACAACATCATTTTGGGAGCAAGTGGAATGTTGGTAAACTTTAGAGAAATTACATAATTTTTAAATTAGAATTCCAGTTTAATAAAGAACAGTTTATGCAATTAAATATATTCTCATAATTTTGTCTTTGTAGTAATTGTGTGTTTTTTAGTCTAGAACTTAAACCATTGTGGGTTATCCATGAGCTATGCAAAAAGACACACGTGATTCACTGTCATTTGATATTATTTACAACTTTTGAAACTAATTGACAAAGTAGTTTGTATTCCTGTTTCTCAAACTTGATAAATACTTATCAAAGACTATGGTATTTGTTAAAATATGACTGAAAATTTAACAATATGACTGAAAGTGTAACAAACCTTTGAAAACCTTAATTTTCAAGCTAACCGTTTTGAATTTGCCCTGAAATCTTTTAACATGATTTACTGGTGCCCGGGGAGAGGAAACATTTTGTTGTGAGGAATCTGGTGGTGAGATCTTACATCCCCTGTACCACAATCCTGTGTAATCTGAATATTGCTAAATTAAGTTGTTATGGTACGAGGAGTACCTAGTTAACCTTCAGGGGTTAAGCTGTGCTGATCGGTTTTACCCCAAAGTCTTCAGTCTACCACACTGACCAACTACTTCCATATTAGACTGGGCACCGTTGATAGCCTGAGTATTGTTTAACCCCTTAAGGACACATGACATGTGTGACATGTCATGATTCCCTTTTATTCCAGAAGTTTGGACCTTAAGGGGTAAAAGGCATAATACTGTGAGTGTGATTGCATTGAAAGCTATTATACATTCAGAGACGCAAACAATATGGAAAAGATGCATGGAAGGATTTGTGCCAAAAGTAAGGACTGTCCCACAGAAATAAGGACAGCTGGGAAGTAATTAATATGTGCACTCCGCTCATCATCCCAACTTGATGACAGGTTTCCTTCCTTTCCAACACCTCCTTTTGACACTGTGGTATACTTTCTTAATATTTTACCCTGTCTGGCTCCTCCTTTTGACAATATTGCATACTTTTACTATACCACTGTATGCCATGAGGCCCCCAGTAAAGTTAAATTGTCTTTGCATTATAGAACTTGGCAACTAATGAGAATGACCAAGCTCCTCAAAGTTTCAGGATAATTACTCATTCAAAAGAATGGTATTACCAAAATATACCTCTTCAACATTTTTGCTAATAACATTGATATATCACCCGAACCTCTGCAGCACCTCTTTCTTTACTCGTCCATTTCCTATTTTCCAATTCTACCAGGCAAACCTCACTGCCTCTAAACACATTCCCTGTCTTCTCCTCCACCCTCTTAAAATGTTCTTCTCTCTATTCTTTTCTTTCTCTGTTGCCTCCCGATTTTATAAAACCTTTTTGTCATTTTATTTCCCTCATGTCGGGGTTGGCTAGAGGATACTCAGCAAGATGAGAGGCAGCGACCTAACAAAGGGAAAGACAGAGAGATAGGAAGAGGCATATTACCGGACCTTAGAGTGGACCTTAATGTGGAACTTAATATAAAGCAAGAAATAGCAACAGAACAAAAATCAAGAATAAAAGTACAGGCCAGGAAAGTTAAAAAATTAAACACACAATTGCAGACACAGGCAAAGGTCGGGAGCATGAGAAAAAGGCCAGGTACACAAGGGCAGAAGAACCGAACGTAGTCAGCTAGCCAGGTCAAAATGACAATGAAATATAATCAGAACAAAAATATAATTAAGGATACAGGAAATGGCCCAACGCAGCCAGAGATCCTTCCTTAAATATGGAGGCCCTGCACCTGATTGACTCTTGCTTCCTTGGAGCAATCAAGTCAGAAATGTAGCACTTGTGATATCCACAGGTGCCCTGTAAAAACAAGCAATTAGAAATATCAGATGGATGAGAAATAAAATAGACAACTGTCTGGAATAACCCCAAGTCCCACCAGAGATAGGTTTCCTGACACATTTTGCATCCCTCTTATCTATACTCACTCCATTGTGCCACCCAAGCTCTCTATTCTCTCCCCTCTCACCTTAGCCACCATCCTAGACCTCAGTCCCCCTCTGCACCATCAAATCTCAATTTCTCTTCTCTTTCTCCTAGCAGCTGGGAACATATCCCCTGACCCTGGCCCTGATCATTTTCCTCCTCTCCTCTCCCTTGGATCTCTTACAATATTATATACCCTTTAACTCCTCCTCTGCTCTCCCTTTTCACTGCACCTTCTGGAATGCCTGTCTATCTCTAGCATTGTAATATTTTGTAGAATTGTATTAATAACTTCTTTATATTCTTAACGTCCTCTATCACATGTCTCTAACTGAAACTTGGCTCTCTTTCTGTGCTAATCCCTGTTTTTCTATCATATAGATACTTCCAACTCTCATATACTCCTAGACCTGGTGACCGCAAGAGTGGCAGTATGGGTCTCCTTTCACTTCTTTCAGCACGTTTCAGCTAATTTACTCTATGCCTCGGCACTTTCTTAGAAAACACTTCTCAGCCTGGCTCCCTCACTTACTGCTCTCTCCATTATCCTAAGAGACTTTAACATTGCTGTAGATGCATCGAC